CTTCCCAAAACCAACTGGCAGACATTCTTACAAAGCCACTCCTTCCTCAACTCTTTGCCAATTGTCTCTCCAAGATGAACATTGTAAACATACATGTTCCTCTTGCGGGGGATATTAGAATATTACATTGTTTGTAATTTGGGCTTTTGTAACTGTTTTTGTATTTTCCATTTTAGCATATTGGGCCTGCACTGTTTTTATTATTGGCCCTTAGTATAAATAGGATTAGCTAGGGTTTTTGTTCTCACTTTTTCGTCTCTACAATTTCTGCTCTCTCTCTCTAAACCGCAGAAATCTTTCCTCTCAACTCCTCTCTGTAAATCGTTTCTCAAGTTATCAATGAAGATTTGATGTTGTTTTTACTGTTTTTCATTCTATTAGAAGGCGATAATCCCACCTAGGGCTGTAAACCAGCCGAGCCGAGCTCGAGCTTAAGGAGCTCGAGCTCTTAACGAGCCGAGCCGAGCTCGACTCGTTAAGTAAACGAGCTAAAAATTGAGCTCGAGCTCGGCTCGTTAAGGCCTCGAGCTCGAGCCTTAACGAGCCGATCTCGAGCTTGAACGAGCCGAACTATAAAAAATTACATAATTTTCACTTTTCGAGCCTTAACGAGCCTTATCGAGTCGAGCCGAGCTCGGCTCGTTAACCAAACGAGCTTTAAATGAGCTCGAGCTCGGCTCGTTAAGGTTTCGAACTCGAGCCGAACCGAGCTTTAACGAGCCGAGCTCGAGCCGAGCCGAGCCGAGCCAGTCTCGTTTAATTTAACAGCACTAATCCCACCTTTGAGGCATTTGGCATCATCTATACAGCAAGAACCCAACCACCACTCTAAATTATATTTCATCATTATCCAACTTAGACCAACTCACCCTCAATCACCAAGTTTTTTTTTTCCAAAATATAATTCTTATTAGTAAAAAGAACACTTAATTGCGTAAAAGACATACTCCTATATTCGAATTGAAATTAGAGGAGAATCTATTAACATCCATCCACAAAAGAAGGTCGTCTAGTTAATTTTCACATAAATTACAAGTCAAAGGTGGTAGGTATTATACTTTCAAATGTCCCGAGGGACCCATATCATTTAATTTTCCATGTATGATCATAATTGCTTGTTAAATATTTAAGAATGCACATTAGAATTTTCTTTCCCTTTTTTTTTTATATATTTAATAATGCACATCAAAATTTCAAAATTCTTACACAAATGTATATACATATGACTAAGGCTCAAAGCTAAGTTAAGATCATGCCCAACGCTGCGC